CCCTAGAGAAATATATGTATAGGATATAGTAGCTTCTTTCTTTGTAGAATGAAGATCTCTCATCATTTTAAATAATAGTAATTATGGTATGGCAGTGTAGATGGCCTTATAAGTCGGAAGAGATTAATTCGAAAGAAACACAGGGCATAGTATTAAAAGTAACCAACCTTCCAGCCCCTGCTCTTATCCTCATATCCCTAATCTCTGTTTTGCTTTAATTTTTACATCTCCCTTCTTCTGAAAATGGAGTATAGAACATTTTCTAACAAATTAAGATTCTGGTTTCTTAAAACTAATTAAAGGAGACTTGGGAAGTTATTTAAACTCACTAATTTTATAGTTTAAAATTTATGAGGCATAGGTTGATTGACTTGCTCAAAGATACTAAGCAGATTCACTAAAAGAAACAAAGATTTAGGTTTCTTTATTAAACTGACACTTTAACAGTGTCCCAAATTTTGGTGGTTATCTTTGATCTTCTTTGAAACAGGTAGATCGACACTTGAGAAAGCTGGATCAGGAACTGGCTAAGTTTAAAATGGAGCTGGAAGCTGATAATGCTGGAATTACAGAAATATTAGAGAGGCGTAAGTAAAATTTACAGTTTTCCCTCAATATTGGACCGTACATGTGCAAATCACCAAGTAGATGCTTGCCCGCCGAGGCTTTTCAGATCCTGCCCTTCAGTGGATGGTGATGTCCGGGTTGGACAGCCTGGACGCTGGCAGTTGAAACTGTTAAGTCATGAATACTGAAAGAGATCAGAGGAAATCATCCACTCATTCTTTATGAAGATAACATTAAGTCATTTCATTTTTAAATACCTACATATGATAGTAGCATGATTGTAAGAACAGATTTAAAGAAATGTAACCATCAAGAAACATTTTAACCATCTATCATTAAATTGACTTTGCCCTGTCTACTTATGCACATAAGCTTTTGGAAAGGTTGTTAGTTTTTCTTAAGAACTGCCTTAAAGTTTCACTGAACAGTATATACAGAGAAAGATTGTGATTGGTTCTACGATACTTCCATTTTCCTTCAAACAGATCTTTTAAAATTTTCCCTCTCAGCCCAAAGCCATTTTAATATTTCTCTGTAAGGTTCAACTTGATCTGCTACAACTCACCCTTATTACTTTTTGAGCTTAACTTAGGAGACCGAAAAATAGAAGCATGAGCTCTGTTTCTTTAAGTAACTTAGCGTCTCTTTTAACCTAACTAGGTAAGGTACATAGAACAGAGTGTGGTGCTAGGCCCAGCGTAGGCACTCACTAAATGTTAATTGAACCAAATTAGCGTTATGGCTCATTTCTACTAGAATTTAATTAAAATGTTTAAACATTTCTTTTCCCTTGGTGCATTTCAACAGCAGTAACGTGTACCTAATTCTACACACAAATCAAAGATTTCTTTACAGTGCTAGGCTATGTGTCTATGTATATACTCACTAGAAGCCAGCTAGACAAGTCAGTGACAAATCCATCCTGGTATCCATCACTGCATTTTTGTATTCCAAACAAGGTCCATCACTTTAAGGGATCATCTAATTTATTTCTCATACTTTTATTCGTAGGAAACCTTCTCTGAGGCTAATAATAAGCATTTGAGGACAAAATAAAATATTCTATAGCTGCTTTGATTTTTTTTTTTTTTTTAAGATACTGATGACAGCAGTGAGTAGTAATTACTCAGGCCTATTCAGTACTGCAGGAAGATTAATAAAGCATCCTCTGTAAGGACACAGACATATGAACCTAATTGGATCAAGTTTTAAAAACTGCTCTACCCTTTGCCCTGCCATAATTTCATCTCAAGGGATCAAAAATAAACCCAGGAAATTGCTTTAAAAGTATTTCTACGTTTGGTGTTAGAGATTCTGTTTCTTGCTTTCTGCAAGCAAAATCTCTAACTTCTTTTAGGAAGTTTGTACTATCATAAGCTACTTTAATGGTCAGAGAATTTTCTTTTATACAGAATTGTCTCCACTGCTGAGAACTTTAGGTTCTCCCATTAAGAGTCTTCAATTCAGTAAAACTAAGTTGAGTTTTTTAGAAATGATTGGTAATGGGGTTATAATGTCTGTTAATCCATTTGTGTGCTCCCCACTGAAATTCTTAATTAGACAGTAGCATACCTTGAGTCATTTGTTCTTAAGAGGGATATTGTGACATAGATTGTTTAGAGAGAAGTTAGATAGCTCGGGGTGGAATTGTAATAGTGACCCTCTGGATTAAGCGATGCAGGCATATCCATTAGAGCTTGCCAGTCTCCTGCTGGATGAGGGAACACAGTGAGTAAATTTCCAATATTTAATGGTGGGATATCTCTCTGCCTTTCTTTCTCTTTCTAGGATCTTTGGAATTAGACACTCCTTCACAGCCAGTGAACAATCACCATGCTCACTCACATACTCCAGTGGAAAGTAAGTTTGGTTTAGTGCAGCTAAGTCTTAAATACAATTTAAAACATTTATATATTCTCTTTATTAGCTATGCACAACTGAGAAAAGTAAATAAACTTCTCTTTTTTTTGTCTGAGATAAATTTTTTTTTCATTGCAATTACTGGCATTCTTATCTTTTTCATTGGAGAAATGCATATTTGATTTGAGAACAGGTAGTCTGTTTCCTCTGAAATTTATAGCTAGAGAATATATATACTAAGAACTACATAGACACCCATCTCTATCTTAGTCTTCTACGGAGTGTTCCAGATGGCCCCCACAATAAACAGTTTCATGGTAGGCCCTTTGTCTCTTTCATTATTGCTTTCCTAGTGTTTGCCCCAATGTTTGGCATAGTGAAGTCTCAAGTGGTTGGTAAGTTAGTGAGTAAAATGAACTGTTGGATGACTGGCTGGCTAATTTGCTGTATTTGTGCATTTTTTTAACAAATCAATTCGATAAAAAAGAAGGATTGATGAGCAACTCTTCTAAATGATAGGTAATATTTAGAAAGCAAAATTCTCATGTTGTGTGTGAAACTGGTGTATGGATTATCATCAGTACATTGCTACTGAGGTTTTCAAATGTATGGGAAGTGTACTTTAAATATGACAGAGAGAGTTCTGCTTATCTCGTCTTCTGAGGAGACATAATGCTGTCTATTACATAAGGCACAAGGTCATAACTATACTGGTTTATAGCTAGATGGAAGTGTTGTACCCTATCCCTAGTTCTCTACAGTTCACATTTATTATTTTTTTCTATTCAGAAAGGAAATATAATCCAACCTCTCACCATACAACCACAGATCATATTACTGAAAAGAAATTTAAATCTGAAGCTCTTCTATCTACCCTTACATCAGATGCTTCTAAAGAAAATACACTAGGTAAATTTATATTTTTTAATATGATTATGTATGTTTTTGTTTGTTTACTTTGTTAGAATAAGGGGAAATGTAATATTCAGGGTTAATGAATCATATACAGTTTAGCTAATTAAAGTCAACATCTGGAAAAAGGAACAACGTGATAATTATTCAATTGGTTCAGTCTACAGCGACAAAAATGTTTTATGATTATGGTGTGCTGGGAAATGATGTATTTTAAACTCACTAACATTAGGTTCTTTGCAACTGTTTTTATTTCTTTACACAGGTTGTCGAAATAATAATTCCACAGCCTCTTCCAACAATGCTTACAATGTGAATTCCTCCCAACCTCTAGCATCCTACAACATTGGCTCATTATCATCGGGAACTGGTGCAGGGGCAATTACCATGGCAGCAGCTCAAGCAGTTCAAGCTACAGCTCAGGTAGAATGTAAAAGGTTTAGAGACAAAATGTTATTTTTGTCTGACTCCTTGGCAAATCCCGTTAGAACCAACTAGATGTGAACATGTAGTTTTCTGGCCTTGTATAGTTTCATAGTTAAATAATAACTTCAGGGGACCAGCAGTTAGCCTAATGGCTATGTCACCGGACTCCCATGTAGTCAACTACGGTTTGAGTCCCAGACCCGGTGGCTTAAAAGTCATGCCGGGCGTGTGTGTGTGCATGCCCAAGATCCCGAGAGGTGAATGGAGGAGAAGGGATTGTGGCGTTGCCATCCCCCCTGGGAGGTGATTTCTCGCTGTCTCTGTCTGTCTCTGTCTGTCTGGCGAGTGCATGTGCCCTATAGCAAAAGCCTTCCCCCCCCCAGAAAAAAAATAATAACTTCATGGTACCTCTCTGACATTTTATTTAATAGAATAGTGTATAGGAATCAGTGATTGATAATGAAAAATGTCAACAGAAAATAGATTCATTGTGCAGACCCTTCTCACTAATAACTGCTAGGGCAGCTCATTGTTTTCTCTCCCAGTTCCAGGACTTTCTCTGTAGCCTTGGACCTATGGTTATGTGGAGTTTCTTCACTTCTGTACAGTTCATCTGTATTCTGAGTTAAGAAGTTACCCATCCTGTCATTTCTCTCTGTATAAAAACTGATTTAAAATCTTAACAAAACAACACAAATTCTGATAAAGAAAATAATTTAAGCAACACAGGTTAATTTTGAATAAACTATGGCTGTAACTTGTAAACTTGAAAAAGGAAATCTATATATATTTACCTATATTAACCCTATCAATGAATATTCATTTAAGATGAAAGAAGGGCGAAGAACGTCAAGTTTAAAAGCCAGTTATGAAGCATTTAAGAATAATGACTTTCAGCTGGGAAAAGAATTTTCAATGCCCAGGGAAGCAGCCGGCTATTCATCATCTTCAGCTCTCATGACAACATTAACACAGAATGCCAGTTCATCAGCAGCCGACTCACGGAGTGGTCGAAAGAGCAAGTAAGTTTTATGACTGCCATAGCCCCATACCTTTACTGAGTACTCAGCGTGCTTGGCATCTGAGCTGAGCCTGCACAGTTAAGCAAAGATGAATTTTGGCAAGTGAGGAAGACATGAAGTTTTCATTTACATTGCCATACATTGAAGGGCTAAAGTCTTTAAAAAGTGTTAGAGTTTAAAAATTTTTTTCCTAGAATCTGAAATGTTTTTAATAAACGGCTTCTTCTTTCTCCCTCCCCCCCCATTGGGAGAAACATTGTATGAAATTGTTTTTCATTTATGACTCATTATTTTATCAGTGCTTCAAAGTTAATTAATGCATAAAAATGCAAATTATATCTTTGGAATCTTTTTGAAAAAAGGATTCTTCATTTTGATTAATAGCAAGGTGTCTTTATTCATGGTCTTATGCCCCCAAAAATCAGTAATATGCAAAATCTTTAGATTTACATATGAGACTCCTAGGATGATTATATGAGCTCTTAGTATGGGAGCTTAATGACCTTTGGCACTGCCTATCCCAGTGATTGAACGTGCTGGGTATTTGGACATAATGAAAGTTTAGATGGTGTGCCAAAATAATTCGTTAAAAAAATTAATTTTAAAAAATGTATTTCTTGGAGCCGACAGTTGGCATAATGGCTATGTCGCTGGACTCCCTTGTAGTTGACCGTGGTTCGAGTTCCGGACCCAATGGCTAAAACTCACGCCAGGCGTATGTGCGTGCGTGACTAAGATACTGAGAAGAGAAGGGAGAAGAAGGGATTGCGTCATGGCCATCCCCCCTGGGGGGTGATTTCTCGCTTTCTTTATCTCTCTGTCTTTTTCTGGTGAGCATACACGCCCTATAGCAAAAACCTCTTCAAGAAAACAAAAGTGATCAGTATAAAATAAACACAGATATATCAAATATCTTAAAAGTTAATCCATCTTGATGACCCAGATTAATGTAGGTGCTTAATGACATATTTTCATATTTTCAAATTTTAATTAGCATATAACTAGGGGTAAATTATGTGTGTATATTTAAATACAGTTGGTTGCCTGTCCTAAACATGGTAGGTATACACATGTTGGTTGATGGTCAAAATCATTTTCCTTTTTTCTTTTTTAATTGCCGGAGGGTCATGTGCTTGCCATGGTGGGCTGGAGGTTGAGGGGTAGAGAAAGCACCCAAGAGGGGAACGATCACGTTGTAGTCCCTTCTCCTTCATCTCTCTATCCTGTCAGGATGTGGGGTATGTGCATTCATTCACCTAGCATGTTTTCCAAGCACCAGGGACAGAATTTGAGCTGTCATTGGCCATGTGTGATCTGGCTGCCTTATCTACTAGGCTTTGGAGCTGGCCCATTCATAAGAATTTTCATCAGATGCCTTTGTCAATTCGTATTTTTAGATTTTGATGAATATTCAGTTTATTTAAAAATTTAAAGAATGTCTCTAAGGAAGTCATAACTAGTATATAATTCTTAAATATACTACCTATAATTTAAGTCAGTGTAAGTAGTGACTTTGATTTTTAAATTATTTTTAAAATTTGAAGTGTTTGTAAAATAATTTTCTTTTGAATAACTATTTTCCATAAAACAAGATATTCCAAATAAAAAAAACTGTTATAGAAAACTCTTGCTTGTTATTGCTTTAAACAAGTATCAGATTATTTTAACTTTCATACCATTTATTTAGGAATTATTCTCAGATAACTGCCTCTGAATGATGAGCAAATAAAACTGATGCTATTTGTTTCAGAAATAACAACAAGTCTTCAAGCCAGCAGTCATCATCTTCCTCCTCATCTTCATCCTTATCATCCTGTTCTTCATCATCAACAGTTGTACAAGAAATCTCTCAACAAACAACAGTAGTTCCAGAATCTGACTCAAACAGTCAGGTTGATTGGACTTACGACCCAAATGAACCTCGGTATTGCATTTGTAATCAGGTAAATATCTGGTATATGTTTCTATAAAAGCATACTCCAAATGAAGTAGAAAGAACTATTTTTTGTTGTTTTTAATGCCCAGGCATGCATGGGAGAAACCATCAGACAGAGGAAGAAAGTGCCTCTCAATGGGACCTGATCATTTGACAATGCTTTTTGGTCCATTTTTTCATCCTATCACCCCGTGTGTAGCACCCAGTGTGTGGCTGCTGGGGTCAGAATTCGAACCTTGGTCAGCCATGTTGTGTCTTGCCTCCTCTGCACAGCACTTAGCCACTGTGTTACAGGACCAGCTCTGTTTTATTCTTTAAGTTTTTTTTACTTCAGCTAAAATACCTGTGTATTATTTGCCTTATTTTCTACCCCCTCCTTTTTTTTTCTTTTCTTTTTTTTTTTTTTTTTGGGGAGATTTTCACTGTAGGGCGGGTGCGCTC